TGGAAAAGCCGACCACCGTTTACTCGCACGATGTCAAATACCTGAGTCTTCACAGGGAAGTTGTTTCGCAAAATTAAGCTTGATTCTTTTATAAATGTATAATGCTGTTATAAAAAATATAGTACGCACTCGATTATAATGTTCCTTTATTACTTTCGTACAAATTTGAAAACTCGCTCCTAAAGTCACTCGTTTTCAAAACATATACTCATGCAATAAAGCTTAACATTATAAACTAATTGCATAAACTAGTATTGTCACTGAGGCGAGAAAGTACGTGATATTGTAGCACCCCAAGTTGAAAATGGCATTTATTGGCAATGTTAAATGTAGTTGTTGCTTTTAATCATAGGTTTATATACTACTTAATGGCGTTAATGAGCTAATGTTTTATCGCTTAAAAAGCGTATGTGATTCATAATCAAAGAGTAATAAAATATTTGTATATCGTTATTAGTACGTAATTAATATTTTTTCACAATTCATAGAATACCTAACAAAGTGAAAGTGTTCACAGCGTTTCAATTTTTATGGTCAAAAAGTTAATAAAACTTAAAAGTACTCGATGCTTCCTAAAGAATTTCGCTGTCTTAAAATATGAACAACGTCTCCTAGTAAATTAAGAGGAAATATTTACTGTTGCTTTGTTCATTAAGTCATTGTTTTGCTCATTTCTAATTCCATGGTTAATGTGAAAATAATAGCTAGCTAACAATAGTATCATTAAACTAAACGTGGGAACAATCCGCACTTAATACAAGTATACCAAGTAATACTTGTATACCAAAATTTATAATTTAAAAATGTTTTATACTGAATTCCAACTTCAGACCAAAACAATAAAATGTTTTGAGACATTTTAGTTGAATGAGGGAGGGAAGTAACAAATATTATGTGATTTAAGGGGGATGATTTATTTTTCTGTAATTTTCAAAGTATTTGTCGAGAAAATTGGTATGTTTGACTTAAATTAAGAGTGATTAAAAAACTCAATTGTCTTAAAGAATACAGACAATATTATATTATGTTTCATAAAAAAGACCATCATTTTCAGTAATTCGTACCCCAACAATTGAAAAAATTCATAAAACTTACTGATTTAGATACGCTACCTAAGGCTGAAGTAAAAAAAATTAAAAATAATTTACCTTTCATTACGATCACAACGTGACGTCTAGAGGATAACGAATTACTTGTGTATTTAGCAGCTACTTGGCTGTTTACGTGACGGTACGTCCTAGGCATAGATGACATTTCGGCCGCCATTCTTCGACCTTCTTCAGGGCATTTCGCCCATAGCTACCGTCTCCGGCCGCGGATACCTACTTTCTCCCTCTGTCTTTGTCATTTCCCATTCATATTTTATAATTCACTGTAGCGAGGTGCCACAATACAGATCAGTTTGTCACCCTGACTCTTCGGGAACATTTTATAATCTCTCAATACGCGACCTCGCATCTATGAAATTGCAGACGTGACGATAACCCAATTTTCCGACGATTTTCAGAAACGGGCAAGCCACCATGACTTCCGTCCTTCTGCCTGCCATTTTCGTGCTGTTGGCCATTTCGCCACTCGCTACACCTTCCCATGAGGGTGATGGTCCAGTGGTGCGGGTGTCACAAGGTCAGCTTCGGGGCGCTCGCCTCGAGCGGTCCGCGAACTCCAGCCTACACACACTGTACGCTTTCAAGGGCGTCCCGTACGCACGTCCACCAGTGGGCGAGCTAAGGTTCAAAGTGAGTATGTTGTTTATGACTATTTTGCTCGTGAAATTAAAAGTAATTGTGTTTAACTATACATACAAAATACCCATAATCAGGATGGTTCATCTCAAAACGTTTATCGCTTTTTCTATCCGATTTTTCTTACCGCTTCTCCCCACTGGACAATCATAAACTCTGACTCACCTATCTTTGGAGGCGGTATACATCGATCGGTATGTCGACGTCCAATAAACTACATAAGTACCATGAAATAACGTCTTTAATTTTAACATAGCTATAAGATATTTTCAGTATTTTTTTTAACTCTGTTGGACATAATTTAATTCGTGGAATAGTCCTAATAAATACCACCCGTGCTTTGGAAATTCTCTGATAAATTCCCTTCTCGCTTCGCGAGTCGGGGATTTAGCGACAATTTCCAAAGCACTCGTGATATTGCCTACGATAATGTCATTATTTATAATAATAACTTTATTGAGGTGACCCATGGTATATTGGCCAGCCTGTACATCTTTTACCGCTGGATTTGATCCAAGGTGATGCCAAAAAAAAAAAAAAAAAAAAATTTGCAGTGGACAAACCAAGGAAGGGCAGACAGTCGCAAGACCTGAGGCCTTAAATGGAGGCGGAGACACCCATCCGGTGTTTTAAGTCTCGGCGTCACTCACGTCGTCAGCTTAACCCTCGAGCGGATGCGCTGTCGCAATAAGGATACGTTTTTGCTTCGCCTGTATTTTAACGAAAAATTTCGGAGCTGACCACAGGGAGTATTCCAAAAGCAGAGTGTCATCCTATGAATGGTTCTGAAATGAACTCTGTCAACATCATAGCAATTTCCGCGCGCTTTTTGTCGCAGCCTACGCTGTACGTTGCTTAGCGACGAACACCCGCTCCAGGGGGCTCTCAGCGTGACCCTAAAACCCACGAGTGATGCTTCTACAAAAAGCAGAATTATTAGAACCCTTACCGAGTGTCAAATTCTCCGGATGATATTGTTATAAGACTAGTTTCATAAATACAAAAGACAAATAGAAAAGTGACAACAGGCAATTACACACACAAATATTGTTTACGAAAACTGCTTCTAGATATTGTTTTGACAACAGTAAGAATTGAGAAAAAATACCTACACAGTTTCTTATTAACAAAACACGAGAAGTAAAATTCTCTACTCTTCTATACCAAAATCATTTTACCATAGTTTTTTATGGTCCAAGAAGAGTAGAGTGGTAGGGCTTTTTTCAGCAGTAACAATCCTGACACACTTGTCCACTCGGGATACGGGAAAGCCATGCACCATCATAGATTAGAATGCCACTAATCTGGACACTTTGTATCAGATGTACAGTGTGTATTCCGTATCAAGGATTACCAGAAGTTTTTTTTCAAATCTATTAGACATTAAAGTTGTGAATGCAACGTTCTCTTCAAAGGTAACAAGCAAGACTGCGAAAGAAGGCGGAGAAAAGTTTTGCACAATTAGACATTTTTGTTGTTAAAAAGCTCATCTAATCGGAAGATCACAAATTTCTTCACCTCCTTTGGATATCTGTACGTTTCTGAGCGGGTATAGCAAAGATGAGTCCAAAGTGGAGGAATAGTGAAACAGAAAACGCAGCAATGCGAGGAGTGCGACCGGGTGAAGAATAAAACAACATCTCCGGGTGTCAAATGTGTGGACAATTCACTTGCACACAGCACGCACAATGTGTTTATCACCAACACATGTTCCAGTACTGTACAAAGCATCCGTCAGAAGAGTTTGCAATTAGTAATTTCTAAAATGCACTACTCATAGAAATAAAAACAAAATTCTTACTGTTATAGGATACAGTTATTCTGAATGAGTACAATAACATCATACTATAACTACATAATCACACATATTCTTCCTGTGCAAGTAAAACGGAAAAATCGCGGTGCTCAATGAAGTGAAACCCGTGCCCGGTGGTGTGACTAAATAAGCGCGCCCGCTCGAGGGTTAAAGGTAGAGGCAGTGATAGGGGGCTTGCCACCGAACTTTCGGCTGGATTGGGCGTGCGGTTCGTCAGCATCCTGTGTGCAGCAGGGTGGTGGATTTCCAAACCCACATACAAAAGACCAGACGGGCAACATGAACCTCCCTGTCACGTGGCCTAGGTTTCAGCAATACTCAGGTCGATAGCTTCAAGGGAAAGGCAGTTAGGGGACCGTAAGGGGTCCCCACGCTGATCGGACCTTCGTGCGGGTGGCTCCCTATTGGGATCGTGGCTTCGTGTTGGCAGCAGACCGATACTTTGGGCATAGAGGAAGGTCATGTTCCAGCATTGCGTTTATTCGACTCCGGCACCGGCCTGGGAAGCCGATAGCTTAGAGGCTGGCAGAGCGGCCCGACCAAGCCTTTGATGGGGAAGGTTACCGCGAGGGTAAATTGCATCTGGAGGGATCCAAATACCAGCCCGTCGGCGTACTTTTGCGCCGGCGGGGGTGTGGATAAAAGCGAAAAGCTCATTTGCCCACCCCGGGGAGCCATTCTGGTTAAACAAGCCATTGGGTGGTGAGGTAGACCACGCAGGGTTATCCTGGCCAAAACAGGTTCACAAAAGGTTTTCTAGCGGTACTCCCATTCCCCTGTCAATATGAATTCTACTTGCATGCTACATTAATCATTCCCTGTCCTACCATTAGCCATCAATCCGTTAAGGATCCAAGGATGACAGCGGCGACAACACGATAACCGAAGAACTAGCTGAGAAGGGCCGTGGATTATTGATCCCCAGCGTCCCCGCCAACCAAATTTCAGGGAAAGGGGAAATGGTGGGACCGGGAGACCTCTCCTCCCAAGCTCTTGTTGCGAATGATAGGGGAGGATGTAAAGCAAAATGGGCCAGGGCTTCATATTCGATTGAAGCAGCCCCCTGAGTGTAAACCAGTATTGAATTAAAACTCTATTGCTTCTATTGATAATCTTATCCTGTACTATAAAATAGGTGTGTGTCAGAACACAGAAATATAAATTTTTAGCATTACGTTGATATTTATTCAGGAAATGACAGGACTTTGTACAGGACATTTTCTAGCTCTATTTTAGTAATGATGACTATTTTTGTGTAGGTCTTTCAGCATATATTTACTTTATTATTAAAATAATTTTAAAGATCAACAGTAGCATTAAATTAAATGTGGTTTCCATTCCAGATAGGGTAATTAATACAGATTTAATACCCCCCCAAATCCCATGTAGCTTTACTAATTTTTACGCGAAGCAGGTCATGTGGAATACTTTTCTTGCAGGATCCCGTTGAACCAGAGCCCTGGACCGGCCGGCGGGGGTGTGGGATAAAAGCGAAAAGGCTCATTGCCCACCCCGGGGGAGCCAATTCTGGTTAAACAAGCATGGGTGTGAGGTAGACCACGCAGGGTTATCCTGGCCAAAACAGGTTCACAAAAGGTTTTCTAGCGGTACTCCCATTCCCCTGTCAATATGAATTTACTTGCAATGCTACATTAATCATTCCCTGTCCTACCATTAGCCATTAATCGTTAAGATCCAGAATGACAGCGGCGACAACACGAATACACCGAAGAAACCCAGCTGAGAAGGGCCGTGGATTATTGATTGTCCCCAGCGTCACGCGCAACCAAATTTTCAGGGAAAGGGGAAATGGTGGACCGGGAGACTCTCTCCTCCAAGCCTCTTGTTGCGAATGATAGGGGAGGATGTAAAGCAAAAATGGGCCAGGGCTTCATGTTCGATGAAGCGCCCCCTGAGTGTAAACCCATATTTGAATTAAAAACTCTATTGCTTCCTATTGATAATCTTATCCTGTACTATAAAATAGGTGTGTGTCAGAACACAGAAATATAAATTTTTAGGCATTACGTTGATATTTAATTCAGGAAATGACAAGGACTTTGTACAGGACAATTTTCTAGCTCTATTATTGTAATGATGACTATTTTTTGTGTAGTCTTTCAGCATATATTTACTTTATTATTAAAAATAATTTTAAATGATCAACAGTAGCTATTAAATTAAATGTGGTTTCCATTCCAGATAGGGTAAATTAATACAGATTTAATACCCCCCCAATCCATGTAGCTTTACAATTTTTTACGCGAAGCAGGTCATGTGGAATACTTTTCTTGGCAGATCCCGTTGAAAACCAGAAAGCCCTGGACCGGCATCAGAGACCGCTTCCCCTACGGTTCGGTCTCGCGTCCAGAAGAACCCTCGGATCCGGAAACGTAACCGGAGAAGAAGACTGTCTGTATCTCACATTTTTTACTGGCAGACGTGAAGTTTTTCTTTGAGGGCAGTGCATTTGTCTTAAAACTGAAAAAAATCCAT